CTATGGGACACGTTCACATCTCCGCATTTTCACCTGGTGTGTTTTTTGGAAAGGGTCAGGGACTTTTTAAAATGCAAAACATTGCATTTTTGGTTGAATAGACTGCAATAGAGATGCTGCAGAAATGCATGCAGTGTGTTTTTGATGCGTTTTGTGTATTATTCTGCCCAGCAACAAGTTGGGAAAAAAAAAAACGCAAAATGCAAAACACATCAAAAATGCATGTGCAAAAACACATCGCAAAAAGCATTGCAGAAATGAACCAAACGCAAACTGCGGAGGTGTGAACCTAGCCTAAAGAAGAGTGAGCGCAGCACTTAGAAGGAGAGCAGACAGGGAGAAAGAGCATGCTTGCTGATGGTTTAAAGCTACATGGGTTTTTTCTTTTTTTTTTTTTTTTTTTTTTTTACATCAAACAAAATGGTAGAGTTTATTAGTGCAAATAATTTGCCTTTTTAACTGATCTTAAGACCGCTAGCTAGCTTAAGACGCTTTGAACTTCCCAACATCTGCAGCAAATCACCTTGCTATATCTTTACAGACTCTGCTGTTGGGTCAAGGTTGTGATTTTCTTGTTCCCGTTACCTCTTTAAAAAGGAAACAGGCACGTGCATAGAGATTCTCCAGCAAGTTTTAAAGTCTTTGTGTGATGAATGTTTCCATTGCTCACAAGTATTCATTATTGCTTCTTCATGACCTATACAGCTCATTCCTTTCCCCAGTCATTGCTCAAATCAGGGCAAAACATGCAGCGACGGGGGTTGTGTATGGCTGTAACTGCAGTACTATATACACCAAGCAAAAAAATAACACAAAATGTTGTAAGCTAAGGTGTGTCTTGAACTGTTTACTGAAATACTCACCATCGTGTAGAGTGGGCAGGCTTCTCATACTGTGCTAGGGAAAGGTTTGCCTCAGTGTCTAGATGCTGTTTTTCACACATAAACGTGATTTCTTCATAGGCCAGCTTCTCCACACAGAGACTAAGTGATTATCATAAGGAACAGTTGTAGAACATCTTCAATGGACTAAGAATAGCCCAGCTCCATGGTTTCCACCTGTACCGCATTTCCAGGGACAGTCCCAGGTTTTTCTTTTATGCATTTTTTTCCTCAGTATTGGATTATGTATTCTTTATATCTTTCTGTTCTTTGGACTTTTTAAACTAATGGTAAACTTTAGTATTTTTTTTACACGTATAATTTTTTTTCATTATTATTATTTAGTACACCCATTGAGTAGATTTTATCTTGGCTTATTCCTTACTAGTTAGTTTTAAGTACTTCTTGTGATAATTGAGAGTTTAGTTCAAGTGGTGTTGGTTTGTGAGCTTTCAGTATGATAGAAATTTCATTCTAGGAATCTGTAACAAACTAAAGTGACTGTATGATCAACCTCATTGTAGTTTGATGGAAGAAAGAAATGGTGTAGCGCTGGGTCCATGCCTTAGTTGACTGTCTTTACAGGATGTGTCCTTGGATGCATGGTTTGTAAGCAGCTCTCTAGTATGGGGGGCATGGTTAGTCACTCATGTAGGTGTTTTAAGCTGACTTTACACAGATTAAATGTTGGCCAAAATTATTTCTAAGAGTGGCCCTGTGGGCACCAGTTGTCTCAGCAAAAGTTGATTTTTCAGTCTACTACATAGCTACTACAGCCAAAGCTCTAGTGGCTGTGCTTCTCCTGTGTATCACAGGAGTGCAGTTCTTTCTGCACTTCTGTGACCAGTTTTCACCTGACAGTGAGCTGAAGCCTTTTGTCGGCTGACATCACTCAGCCAGTCTAGGCTGGGGAAAGATCCACCCCTGGGTCTAGAGCGGCACCTTTCTCAGCCTCTCAGTGAGCCACTGAGAGCTTGAGCCAGCCACTCCCTCCCCCTTCACAGCCCAGCGTTCCAGTGAGCGCATGGGACTGGGGGGGGTCAGTTGGGTTGGCACTGAGTAGAGCTCAGAGTCGCTATGAGAATTCAGCCAAACTCTGTCAAACTCTTAAGTAGCTAACAAGACCCTCGGACAGCAGCAGAAACTCAACAGAGGTTATGACTCTAAAATCCAAACATGTCCCGCTCCACTAATTCTGCATCATTTAGATGTTCAGTGGCAAACTTCAGACAGGCCTGGACATGTGCTTTCTTGAGAGGGACCTTGTGGGCACTGCAGGATTTCAATCCTTGTCGGCGTAGTGTGTTAACTATTGTTATCTTGGTGACTGCGGTCCCAGCTGCCTGGAGATCATTGACAAGATCCTCACGTGTAGTTCTGGGATGATTCCTCACTATTCTCATGATCATTGACACTCCACGAGGTGAGATCTTGCATGGTGCACCAGACCAAGGGAGACTGACAGTTGTTTTTTGTTTCTTCCATTTGCGAATGATTGCACCAACTGTTGTCACCTTCTCACCAAGCTGCTTGGCAATAGTTTGGTAGCCCAGTCCAGCCTTGTGTAGGTCTACAATCTTGTCCCTAACATCCTTGGACAGCTCTTTGGTGTTTGCCATGGTGGAGACTTTGGAATCTCATTGTTTGATTACTCCTGTGGACACGTGTCTTTTATACAGGTAACAAATTGAGATTAGCAGCACTCCCTTTAAGAGACTACTTCTAATCTCAGTTTGTTACCTGTATGAAAGACACCTGGTAGCCAGAAATCCTGCTGAATGATAGGGGATCAAATACTTATTTCCCTCATGAACATGCAAATCAGTGCATAATTTGTTAAACATGCATTTCTTTTGACTTGTTTGTTGCTGTTCTGTCTCTCAGTGTTACAATACACCTACCATTCGATTTTTCGACTGATCATTTTTTTGTGAGTGGGCAAACATTCAAAATCAGCAGGGAATCAAATACTTATTTCCTTCACTGCATCTGTATCCCTGTCCCAGATGGATGGATGGATGAGTGGAGTTGTAAGGGACCGCCCGGCGGTACCACTAGCACTCCACTGATCGGATGTTCCCAGCGCACGGAGTCTAAGCCCCAGGGTACTTGTTCACCAGGGCCCCTGATGGTGGGGATGGACTTGGAGTACCCCAGGACCAGGTCGTGACTACTGAGGACACCCGTCAGTGGTAGGGGTATTCGCCAGGGGCTCCCACGGGAGAGAGCCAGGTATGAGGAGGTCTGGAGACCCCGTAGAGAGGGATGGATGGATGGCTGAGCAGGAGCAGGGTCATACAAGCCGGGTCGGTAACTATGGGGACGGTGCGGTACAGAGCAGCGGGCAGAGAATAGTCGGGTCACACGCCAGGTCAGCAACAGCAGGTCAGATCCAATAGGGGGCATTCAGGAGAGAGGTCAGGCAAGCAAGGGTCAAAACAGGAGAAAACAGCAAGGTCAGGGCACAATCCGGGTCAGCAACTTACTTCAAACAGGTTCACAGGTTCACAGGATACAAAAGACCAAAAGGCACTGAATGACAGCTCAGGGCCGTTTAAATATCCCGCCCTGCGCTGTCATTGGTGCCAGGCGCGCGCCCGCGGTCACTACTGCGCATGCGCGAACCTGATTCCCGCGGTCGGCCAAGTCCCGGCGCTCGCGTACAGGGAGGTGTACTGCGCCTGCGCCGAGCCCAGCGGCGCGACGGTCTCCGACAGGAGTATTTCCCTTTTTCCAGCAGAGGGTCTCGCTGTTTCCTAGAGACCTATTTCCTGGAGTCGGATGGATGAATTGAGTTATCCCTCTTCCCTCTAGAGGTTCTCTTTACTCCTTTCTGATTTATCTCTCCATATGTATAAGTGCCATGTAAAAAAGAGTAAAATATAGTGCCTTATCTTCTTCAAAAGGTATTTATTCAGCCAAAATATAGTGCACTCACATGATATGTATAATAAAATCACTTTTGTATGTAGTATTGTATGATCCTCTATGTGTTAGCCACACTCCTAATACTTGCTGTGTATTTTCCTTTAAGCGTCGTGACGTCAGAACCCCTCTCCTATGCATTACTAAACCGGGTCACGTGGCTTCATCAGGGGGAAGAGGATTTGACTCTTCCTCTGTCCAAAGCCAAGAATAAAAATAGTTTTGGTTGGGGTACCATTCTAAGGGCCTGATAGGCTTTTGTTTGAGTCAGGTGGCCATTGCATTCCCATACAAATCTGTGGGGTATAAAAAACTGAGCTGAAGCAGATGTATATCAGAAGAAGGTCCACTACACCTGTCAGTTAATTCTGAATGGTCTCAAAAGCCTTACAAACTGAGGTAATCGATACAAGTACTAAATAGGCTGGAGAGAAATGTGCAAAGTGCATTGCCTGGTAAAACCAAATCAGATTAAATCCTTTTTCTAATCGTTGTGAACTAGTAAAAGGCAAAAGCTGATTGGTTGCTATGGATTCCTCCCTTTGTGTACTCAGTCATATATTTCTAGACCAGTCTTTTGAATGTATGGCTTGAGGGGGTTGAGGCTTTCGACATATAGCCTTTTTTCAAGCATTTCCTACAATCTTTTGGGCATGAACTAACAATCAACAAGTCTGAATGTTTTGGTTAAAAAAAGTGTGTGATTGGTGGAGGGATTTGTGACACCACCTAAAGCAGAGGTTTTTAACTTGTAGGTCTCATCTTCATAGCATGGTTTATGAAAATCCAAATTTTCATGCCGTAACTGAAAATTTTATAATTTGTAGAACTAATTTTTTGAACAATTTGGGGTCAGCATAAGGGACATGCTTGTGAAGCGATCCCAAAGTAATTTAAATTATAAATTCATCATTTCAGAAATTATGCATGGGTTATGGAACTGATGTGATGATCACTTGATTAAGAACCTCTGATTTAAATACACTGAATATGATATATATTGAAACCTGGATCAACAATGAAAAACACTGTTGGTGACTGATTTGACTGTTTCTGTCTTAATCATTATAAGGTGGTGTGTATAGTAATCCTATTCTCTTTTTCTTCCTCTCTTCTCTCCTTGGGTCTATTCCTTTTTTTACAATCTTTCCTTTTCTTATGGCATGGATCTGTGTTGGCCTTTGGGATTTCTAGAACCTATTGTGAAGAATGGCAGGCCTCCAACATCTCATAGTATGCACTCCTTCCTCCATCAATACACAGGATCCTTCAAGAAGCCACCACTGAGAAGACCCCACAGTGTTATAGGTGGAAGCCTTGGCTCATTTATGGCAATGCCCAGGAATGGAAGCAGACTAGGTAAAGTTTTGTGTACTTTAGAAAACTGACAGCATGTATAACTCAAAAATGTTGCCTAAGTCTATATGTGGATGAATGAAGCAGTGACAATACAGTGGTGTCTGTCACCTGAGCTGATGGAGCACTTATCTTTCTCATATCTTCTCATTATGGGTCTGATTGATTTCTCAAGGTTTATTAAGCGCCAGGGGAAGTTATCAAAACTGGCACTAATGTTCTACAGTTATATATTCATTTATTAGACATGTATTCCTAAAATGAAAAATGTGTTGAAAACGCATCAGTGTCAGAAATTGGTACTTTGCATGATGAAGAGTCCGTATGCAAGGTCTGAAATGCTGCATTCTTTATGTGACATGTCTAACTTGCTCTAATAAAGGTGTGCTGGCGACATATTCTGTTCACTGTGAAGCATCCACTCATTCTTTCAGTATCCCACAATGGGAGCTTTAAGCCGGCCGTAGACTGAAATTCACCTGGTTCAGTAGAAACCTGACAAATTTCGACCCATCAATGGGCAGGCTGGTTTTACTGAAGTTAAACTATCGATCGACGTCAGTACAGCCAGCCTGTCAGGTTTTTGTACAATCACTGCCAGAGGCTTTAGCTGCCAGCAGTGACCATTGTATTTTGACTGTGGGGAAACCTCCCGCTGTCAGAATGTAATAGCACGGCAGGAGGGATTCCCCCATCAGCACTGACTGTGATGGGGTATTGAGTGATTCTCCCCCAGAGGTTGAATGAAAGAAAATTGCATACTCTATGGCCAGCCTTACTACTCTGGTCTGGTGTGCAACGGAGATATACATGTCATTGTTAATAGGGGGATATATTGGTAATTTTGCAGTGGCATGGTCAACGGTATTAGCTTGCATGTTTCTCTTACTACAGAAGTTTCTATGAATTGTTTTTCTTATTGTCTTAAAGTGTTATTAAACCTCCTGTTTTTTTTTTTTTTAATTAAAATAACAAAAAATGTTAAACTTACTTGCTCTTTGCAGTGCTTTTGCACAGAGCGGCCCCGATCCTCCTCTTCTGGGATCCCCTGCCAGTGCTCCAGGCCTCCCCTCTTCGGTGGGTGCCCCCATGGAAAGCCACTTTCCTTGGGGCACCCGTGCGGGCTCGCTATCAGCCACTCTGTCTGCATCTATTGACACAGTGTAGGTGGCTCGACCCCCCGCCTCCCAGCCCATGTCACAGCGATTGATTGACAGCAGCTATCAGTCTGCCCAAGGAGGTGGAAGACAGCAGCGTAGAGCCACTGCTCTTGTGCACATCGCTGGATTGGATTGGGCTCAGGTAAGAAAAAAAGGGAGGGCTGGGAGGGAGCTGAAGCATAGAGGGTTTTTTCACCTTAATGCATAGAATGCATTAAACTGAAAACCTTTAGACTTTAGAACCACTTTAACATGTTAATGTGTATCTAAACCCAAGAATAACATGTTAATATATTGCAGCTTACCAGTCCTTAAATGTGGTGGATGCCTACGTTTTATTATTTTTATAATTTTTTACCTATGTTCATACTGAAAAGGGAGGTATTATGTAATTCATAGATGAGCTGGGCAGGAAGATGAGACTGCAAAGTGAAAAGGACAGAACTGGATTTCTGGCAGGATCAACTATTTTTTTATTTTTACTCCTTTAAAGGAACCAATATGACAAAACACTTTCAGGTTTCATGCACATAGGCACAGGTGCTTGCCTGTACTGCATAAATATGCTGCCAGTTTCTTTTTCCTGGAGTGTCCCGGAGCTGCATGCATCCATCCATCCCTAGACATGAATGAGTGAAGGCATTTTGTATGCAGCTATGCTTTGCTATTAATGTAAGGTGGCGCATGTGCACAGATGTAATATCTCAAACTCATCCAACAGTATGTTTACACTGCATGGGCAAATATGGCTGTGTGCATGAAGCCATTAACAGACCAAAAGGTAGAAGATACCTCATTGCTGGGGTTTACACACACGTTAAAGGTAAATTCCAGACATCTAAAAGACATACAGTGAAGGAAATAAGTATTTGATCCGCTGCTGATTTTGAATGTTTGCCCACTCACAAAGAAATGATCAGTCTAAAAATCGAATGGTAGGTGTATTGTAACACTGAGAGACAGAATAGCAACAAAAAATTCAAAAGAAATGCATGTCTAACAAATTATGCACTGATTTGCATGTTCATGAGGGAAATACGTATTTGATCCCCTATCATTCAGCAGGATTTCTGGCTACTAGGAGCAATCAAACAATCAGGTTCCAAACTCTCCACCATGGCAAAGACCAAAGAGCTGTCCAAGGATGTCAGGGACAAGATTGTAGACCTACACAAGGCTAGACTGGGCTACCAAACTATCACCAAGCAGCTTGGTGAGAAGGTGACAACAGTTGGTGCAATCAATCGCAAATGGAAGAAACACAAAACAACTGTCAGTCTCCCTAGGTCTGGTGCACCATGCAAGATTCACCTCGTGGAGTGTCGTTGATCAAGAGAAAAGTGAGGAATCATCCCAGAAGTACACGTGAGGATGTTGTTAATGATCTCCAGGCAGCTGGGACCACAGTCACCAAGAAAACAATTGGTAATATACTACACCGACAAGGATTGAAATCCTGCAGTGCCCACAAGGTCCCTCTGCTCAAGAAAGCACATGTCCAGGCCCGTCTGAAGTTTGCCACTGAACATCTGAATGATGCAGAGAAGGATTGGTTGAAAGTGTTGTGGTCAGATGAGACCAAAATGAGCTGTTTGGCATCAACTCAACGCGCCGTGTTTGGAGGAGGAGGAATGCTGCCTATGACCCCAAGAACACCATCCCAACTATCAAACGTGGTGGAAACATTCTGCTTTGGGGGTGTTTTTCTGCTAAGGGGACAGGACAACTGCACCGCATCAAAGGGACGATGGACGGGGCAATGTACCGTCAAATCTTGGGCGAGAACCTTCTTCCCTCTGCCAGGGCTTGAAAATGGGTCGTGGATGGGTGTTCCAGCATGACAATGACCCAAAAAACATGGCCAAGGCAACAAAGGAGTGGCTTAAGAAGAAGCACATTAAGGTCATGAAGTGGCCTAGCCAGTCTCCAGACCTTAATCCAATTGAAAATCTGTGGAGGGAGCTGAAAGTTCGAGTTGCCAAACGTTAGCCACCAAACCTTAATGACTTGGAGAGGATCTGCCAAGAGGAGTGGGCCAAAATCCCTCCTGAGATGTGTGCAAACCTGGTGGCCAACTACAGGAAACGTCTGACCTCTGTTACTGCCAACAAGGGATTTGCCACCAAGTACTAAGCAGGGGCTGACTGACCATTTGGGCACTGCCCAAGGGCCCAGGGTCAGTAGGGGGCCCCATGAGATGCCCCCTACCATAGGCTTTTTTGGGTATGGTTTGAGTGTGGGCGAGGACACGGGCCCCATGATCCTCTATTGCCCGGGGGCCCCATGAGTTGTCAGTTCACCCCTGGCACTAAGTCATGTTTTGTGAAGGGGATCAAATACTTATTTCCCTCATGAACATGCAAATCAGTGCATAATTTGTTACACATGCATTTCTTTTGAATGTTTTGTTGCTCTTCTGTCTCTCAGTGTTACAATACACCTACCATGCGATTTTTAGACTGATCATTTCTTTGTGAGTCGGCAAACATTCAAAATCAGCAGGGGATCAAATACTTATTTCCTTCACTGTAATGAATACAGCTCTGTAATTAATAATGCGTAATGAAATTAAATGCAGTTAGTTTACATACCATAAATTGACTTGGTATCAGCCTTGTGCTCTCCATGTACAGTAGTCCTTAGGGAGGAGAAACTAAGAGCAGCTGAGGAACCAGATATTAGGATAGAATAGAGTGACACAGATGAGAGATGAGCTGATCATTGCGCTGCTTCTTTTTTCACTTTCCAGTCACAGGATGCAAATAGGGAAGAGACCTGTAAATAGAAGATCAGGTCTTCTCCCCTGCCAGGCAGGACTGTGCTGAATGGCAGAGCTGTGTAACTCTCAGGACTGGATTGGCAGGTAAAACAGCTTTCATATATGTATTTAATTTGTGGAATTAGCCGTAGAGCTGGAATTGAGCTTTAAATAAATGTCAGCTGCAGCATTCAGCTGGTGTTCAATATGTCAGTGTTACTACCCATGGCCAGGCTGTATAATAATGCCTGTTCAAGCTGAAGTAGTGGATGATTAATATGTTTGTTTGTTTTTGTGGATTTTGTTCATATAACATGGTTAACAGACCCTCCCAACAGAAACGGTCAACTTGATAACATAAGTCCACCCCATAAAAATAAAGATAACCATTAAATTACTTAATGGCCTTTCACAAATGTACCAAGAAAACAATGTCATAGTGCAGCTTAATTAATAATACATTATAGGCACCACCATGTTCAGTCAAATCCCCAGATCTTGAATTGTGCTATTGTGTATTATCCCTGATTCACTAGCCTAATTTCTTCTGGTTTGAAATGCTTTGTGACATATACTCCCTAGCTTTCTGTGTTCTGGTTGTACACAGTTTGAGCCCCGATTCACACCGAATGCGATTTTAAAGTAATGCGGTTTGGTCCCATTTAAAGCGCACCTTCAAGGTAGCGCTGATATAGACACAGGTGCAATTTCAATGCCATTTACCTTATAGCCTATAAGAACTAAATCTCACTGAAGTGGTGAAAAAGTAATGCAGGAACTATTTTTCAAATTGCGCCTATTAAACCCACAACCGTAAAGTCAGTCTGTATGTGCAGTAAAGCAGAATTGTTATACTCCCTGTGGAACCTAAGGGGTTAATCCTCTGCATTGTGTAAAATGCTGTTTGATCCTGTCTTTTTTGATCCTCCCCTTCCTCTAATGTCCCCCTCTTATCTCCTGATAAGACATATCGTGTGGAGCCACTCTGCACATGCTCAGTTTGGTGTGTATTGCTGAAGAGGTTTTTGTTTTTCCTTGGGAGAGTGCACAGGACCAATCAGCACTGTCCAGACAGAGGTCAGTAG